GGCCGACCCCGCACCCTGCAGCCGGGCACGCAAACCCCGCCTGGCACCCTTCAGCCGGGCACCCGCACCCTCTAGCCTTGGTACCAGCAGCACAAATGAGCCTGCACCCGAAACAAGCTGCACCCTGCAGTCGGGCACTCAAATCGACCTTGCGCCCTGCAGCCTGGCATCCAAACCCAGGCGGGCACGCAGCAGCCTGGCCCTGCCCAGCGGGTTCCACCCCAGCGACCTCCCCTCCCTCCGGGGTGGTGCCCGGGCACGGCGGCGCAAGCAGAGCCGCCCAGCGCAGCCCTGGCCCCGCACGGCTCTGCCAGGCAGCTGCCTCAAGGCTTTTGTTGCGGGGGCGCTCCCAGCCCAAGGCAAAGCTTCACCGCGACCTGGAGCAGAAATTTTGCTCCAGTTTTTTTCCAGCAGGGATGGGAGAGCAGGCCTCAGCCAGGTTCGTGCCTGGCGGGGGTCTCGGCTGTGCTGGAGGATGCTTTGCTTTGTGTGAGCCTTGTTCAAGAGATCATCTCCTGCCCACGGCCCGGCTGCCCCCCAGCAGCAGCTGCGGCACAGCAGGTGCCCCCCACGCCCTCACCAGCCCTTGAAATAACCCTTAATGAGCATGGGGGGAAATGACCAGTCCCTCCCGATAGTACACATGTGCCTCAAAGGCACAAAGAGCCTCAGCCCCCAGAGCACAGCAGCCACTCTGCTGGTTAAATATTCATGGCTGTCCCTTCCCCAGGACCCCCAAGAACAGCAGCAACTCCTCAGCCCCCAGAGCAGTCAGACTGCTTGAGCAATCTCTTTAATGAGGATTAAAAATAATAGTCTAAAAAAAATCAATCCCAGAGTTCGGTCCTTTATTTATTTTTAAGAGATAATCCTCCTTTATTTTGCATTTGGTTTTTAAAACATTAAAAGCAGCCTTCACTGGAGCTTATTTTTAAACCAGTGGACACGCACTGAAGCCTGACTGGGGCTGCTCTGTGGCACCTGCCACCACCAGCCCTGCCCGCAGTGTCCCTGCCAGGGGACAAAATGCCACAGGGCCCCAGTGCTCAGTGATGAGCCACGGCTCTTCTGCTCTGCCTGCTCCTGCAGGTTTCCATTGAGCCCTCTGCCTCAGCCATGGGCTGTGGTGCACTATATGTCCCTTGGGAAAGGCACAGGCACCCACTCCTCTGTGGCTGCAGGTGCTGCCAAGGCACTGAGCGACCCTGCAGCTGCAGGATTCCCCTGCCCCGTGATACTCCCAAGCTCTTGCTCCATCCCCACGGCAGCACTGAGTGGTGCCCACCGGTGCCACCACAGGTCACGGTCAAGTTCACTGTCTCCATTTGCTCCAAACCCTTGGGGCTGGGCACCCTTGCCCCCATGCCCTCCTGCCCCTGGGACATGACCCCTCCTCAGAGGGTGCATGCCAAGGGAATCCCGGGGTGGAAGGGGGACCCCTAGGCTGCCCTACGAGATGACTGATCCCTGGATGAGCCGCAGCAGCTTCTCTTGGCGCAGGACCCTGGGCATGGGCATGGGGGAGCCCAGAGCTTCCCGCAGCTGGGTGAAGCTCCCGGGCCTCACCAGGTGCAGGCGCAGGGGCCCAATGCTGCCCTTGAAGCGGAAGGATTTGTAGATGGGGAAATCCTCCTGGAGACACTGGTCCAGCTGCAAAGAGAGGGCAGCTGCCTGTACTGGTCCCACACTGCCATAGCAGTGTCCTTCAGCCACCCCACACAGCCCCAGAGCAGAGCCCGTGTCCTGCTCACCCTGTAGCGCTGCCCCTCCGACAGGTCCCGCAGGCCCTGCAGCTCCATGAACACCTCGTAGTGGGGGGCACAGGGTCCCGAAGAGTCACCTGGGCCAGTACCATGGGAATGTTAAAGCTGCCCTCAGCCCCCTGTCCTCTGGGCACAGGAGGGCTGCAGAGCTCCATGCAGTGCCAGCTACACTTTTGGGGGGACTTGGAGAGCTCAGGAGGACTCACCCAGCAGGCTGCTCTCCACACAGACATAGTCAATCAGGCGAGCCCCTGGCCACATCCTCAGGGTGCGGCCCAGGCTCTGGCAGAACTGCTCCTCAGGGATGCTCTCACCTCGCACACTCAGTGTCTGGCTCTCCCTGCAGTGCAGGGACACAGGGTGGGTCACTGGCATCCTCCTGCTAAGACAGGCCCAGCTCCCAAAGGTGAGGGGCAGGGGGTGGGTGTCCTCACCTGCGCACAGGTTCCACCACGGGACACTGCTTGTGGAAGCCGGTCACCTTCAGCACCTCCCCAGTACGGCACCTGCGTGGGCAGGGAGAGTGTGAAGGGGAGAAGGGTGCATGGGGCTGGGGGAGGCAGACCCCCAGGGCTACACAGCAGGGAGGAGGCACCTGTACTCTCCTGGCTGAGCTGTCACAACCAGCCCATACTCGCGTCCCTCCCAGAGCTCATCCAGCAGCACCGTCCGTGGCTCCCTGGTGGCCAGGCAGGGCAGGAACTCGCAGAAAGCCCAGTCAGGGCACAGCAGGAATTGGGGCGCTGGCTCCAGTGGCCACAGGTTTATACCAAGCAGGGCTGGGCAGAGGCATCATGTGCCAATGTGAGCTTCCCCAGACCCTCCCTTGCCCACAGAAGCCTCACCCCTCTCCAAGGGGCAGAATTTTGCTGGCGCCGGGACCGAGCCGTTCTCAGGTTGCAGGAAGCGAATGCAGCAGAGATGCACCAGCATCTGCTGGGGCAGGGAGACCTGTGCTGCCATATGGCAGCAGCTCCCTGTGGGCACCCAGGGCAGGCCATGGGGCCACACCGGCGTGGGGGACACTCACCTCCTGCTGCCTGGTAGAAGGGGCAGTAGAAGGGCAGTCCCTGGCAGTCGGTCTGGCAGAGGGAGTCGCGGTAGAGCCGCTCCGCGCCATGCGCCGTCCTCACCACCACCACCTCCAGCTGCGGCCACAGACGCAACACGATGCCCTCGAAGCCACGGGCGCACTCAGCACGGAGCTCGGCTGCCCGGGCAGCATCAGGGGACAGCAGCGCCTGCAGCTGGTCCCGCAC